GTGGGTTATTTCTGTATATACCTCCCTATTACACGGTCGCGCGCTACAATACATATATAAACTCTACACCGATGCGGGGGCGGTCTTATTAACGGGTGCGCGAGAGCGCGGGAGTAGATGTAGGTACGTACAATATGTATATAGGTATATAGGATGAGGTTCCTTGCACTTGACTCGCTCGCGGGGAGTACCTGCTTGATGTGTATACATGCGTACTTACTCGAGCGCCCGACGAAAGAGAGACAGAGAGAAAAAGAGGAAGTGCGTTGCTCGCTTTTTCTGTACATCCTTATATATATATATATATATATATACACACATACTTACTTACGCGCATTAAGTAACCTGCTACAGCTCCTTTCGGCTCCTCTCTTGTACACCTATACTCATTCTTCTTGTACACATTTGCCGACTCTGGCTTCGTTACATATATAAGTATGCACATGTATTCGATCGGCCCGTCCGATGTAGTAGCTGATGCACTACTATTATTGCAGAGCAGCTGAACTATGCGAGGCGAACGACGAAGACGATACGCGCAGTACAATGTTACTTACGCGCACCGGTTATACCATGGTACCGATTTTTTCTTCTTTTTTTTTCCCCTCCCCCTCCGATGCCGACGCTGACAAGAGGAGCGATCTAATAGAAGCCCGGAATGGCTGTTTCCCCCCCCCCCCCTTTGTGTCTCTGTATATGTATGTACAGTGTTGCTATTATGTGTTTTGTACTACCGGTTTCTCCCTCTCTCTCTCTCTCTCTTTTATTTATTTCTTACTTTCGTTCCACAGTTGGTGCTTCTGCCGCTGTTGTTTCAACGAATGCCGTTTTTACGAGCAATAATTGCCTTTTTTATTTTTCTGGCATGCCCGCGGGGGTACATGGATTTTCCAAGGGGGATCGAGCCAAAAAAAAGTATGTGCCAGAAAGGTCGAGGGTAACGCAGTGTCCCTCACAAGTGGACATTTTCGCAGGAGTTTCGTCATAACTATTTCGAAGGACAAAAACAAAAATTGAGGAAAAAAAAAGGCACCCCTCTTGCCAAACACAATGTACCACGCGGCGTTCACGCGTGCGTTTACAGGGATGGGGAGGAAGAAGAGGCACAAGCGAAATTCCGATAAAAGGGTATATCGCCGGTCTCCCCGATCCATATCTTGGGTATAAATAAATATATATATATACACACACATGGAAGTGGCGGTCGCGAATTCCTCTCTCTTCTCTCTATTGTCGGCGACTCTCTTGCACCTCTCGGCACCCTCTTCTCTCTCTCCTTCCCCCGCATACTTATATATATTTATATACGTACCTGCTTCCTTTTTCTTTTTTTTTTTTTTTTTCCTCCCTCCCTCTTTTATCCGCGTGAAGGTATACATACGCGTGCTTGCAGCAGCTGCTTTTCTCGTGCGCATACCTGTACCCAAGTGTNCACAGCGATGTACCTACGGGCAAAGGCATGTATGTATAGGTAATCGTCAGAACGGGCGTGCTTCCCTCGAGCACGCGATCTCTCTCTTTTTTTACGCACCTCGCGACCGTGGCAGTGAATCGCGATCGTTAACTTTTTTTTTTTTTTTTTTTTTTTTTCTAACGCGTCTCATACACAGCAAAGTACGACTATTATTCCATATCTCCGTAGGTCGAAGGGGGATAAATAAAAGAATAAGGGGGAGGGACACGAGCGTTTTCGCGCTCTCGACGGGAAAAGGAGGCATCGAGTTAGCGCGGAGCGCGCACTTACGGGGGGGATAAGCTGACGAGTACGGGAACAGGAGACAATTTGCCCTGCGAGCGTCGAGGAAGTGTACTTAGTAGGTGTATATATACACACGTAGCAATCTGCACGGTCCTGTAGTTATACTTGCAACTCGATACACTCGGCGCCCGCGGGCTGGATTCTTTCCGCCTCGTCTTTTCCTCTATTTTATCCCTTTGCCCAGATTTTTTTCTCCCCCCTCCCCATACGCTGGTATCGGAAAGTCCACGCGAGTGTGCATCATATACACTTTGGCTTTTGTTCGATTTGTCTCTTTTCGCCGGCTATATGTACGCTGTCGTTGCGAGGCTTGTTTTTTTGTTGCTTTTCTTCCACCTCCGCCTTCTATTCGTACGTATTGTCCCCGGCCGATGTGGTATCGCGTTTTCTTCGGGGAACCTCGAAACGACACACACACATAGAGAAAGAGAACAATACGAGAGCGAGAGAACCGACTCGTTCAATTACGTGCACGCAACCGCGCTCGTTTTGCGTGATGCAGCCGCGCGCTTCTTCTTCTTCGTCTTACCGATCGTCGTTTGCGTCACTCGAGTTTATTTTGTTGGCTTCCTTTTTTTTTTTTTAAATTTTTTTTATTTTTTCTTCAACAAACAAACGAATCAATGTTCATTGTACACCATGTGAATGATACATCCGAAATAATGTATACCATCCTTTCCCAGCCACGACACTATATTATATAGGTGCATCCTCCAACTATTTCCCGAGTTTATAGATAATTGCTGAAATCGAGAATGAACCGCAGCTATACATACACATACACATACAACAACAGACCGAGCAACTTCCGCGTTGGCGTGCATCGCGCGCTTCACCACCTTTTACCTCGTTATCATTATCATTATTATTATTATTATTATTATTATTATTATTGTATGCTAACGCACGAGCAACACCACTGCGTATATATATATATATATATACACGCGTATATAGCTAGGGCTGAAAAGATCCATCAAAGCTGCGCGCGTGGGTCGTCGCCGCTTGCAAGCCAAGGGGATATAATTACGCTATGGGCCGCGGGAGCTTCCGCGGTACGCGGAAAATATTACCCCGGTGTGCCCGCGCGCCTGCATTACCTATGTACTGTACCCATCCCTCCCTACCTCTCTTTCTCTCTCACGTGTGAAATTGGATATTTTTCCGTGCGTGCAGTAAGTAGCTGACGCCTCTTCTCGCAAACGTTGCTCTCGTCTCTCTCTCTCTCTCTGTAGTGTACGCGCGACCGCGAGCAAAAGCTCATCTCGGCGCACTTGATTATATTGCGTGCGAAATCGAGTGCCATCTGGTATACATGTGTATATACATATTATATACTCCCAGAGAGTGCAGAGTAAAACCTTTAGGAACCTTAGACGCGCACAACGATCCTCTCAATGGGCGCAGGGATTAGGGGGTGTGCATGTATACCGAGTGCGAAGTCGTGCACAAGTACATCCTCCTTTACACGATGTAGGTAGGTATATGTATATTTGTATCGTAATATCATGCGCGGGGTGTATGTACTTGAAGGTATACGTATGAGATGCCGCCGCAGTTATAACGGCAAGGCTATAGGTACTCCGTATATGCGTGCATATATAGTATAAGTACCTACACGCGTTATAGGGTAAGTATATATACAGGGATACGGAGTAATTTTTTCCTATAACGTCTTTGGCACGTTGGGGTTTCTTTTTCTTCGCCTGCAGGTAAATTTAGCTTATTGCCCCACCGCAACGGCTATTACGCTCCTCGGATGATTCACATTTTGCATCGTTCCTTCCTTAGTTCAATTTTGCGTGAGGACTTTGCTGGGTAATACTTATAAATCGATGATTCGAGAGGGTTTATGCGTGAAAAATCGTGAAATGGCGAAACTAAAATCGGAGATACCATTTTTTCGATTTACACCGTCCAGAACTCATGAATCGATGAAAAATATTTATTTACAGTGTCAAAAAAGAGTGACCACGTGAAAAAAAAAAAAAAAAAAAAAAAAAAAAAACTCATTTCAATTTCAAAACTCGGGCTTTTTTTTTCCTCCCTCCCTCTTTTATCCGCGTGAAGGTATACATACGCGTGCTTGCAGCAGCTGCTTTTCTCGTGCGCATACCTGTACCCAAGTGTATTCTGGCTTTTCTCGTTTGTTCGCGCGATTTTTGCACCTCGACACCGCGCGACGGCCATCCGTACACGTGCACACAACCCGTAAGTATATACTTGTCCTCGCGCCTCGTGTAGCTTCTCCGGAGGAATGAGAAGACGAAAAAGAAGAGGAGCGCGCCGAGGGAGAGCAAAGAAAGACGTATTGTTTGCAGATCGTGGGAAGCGGGAAAGCGATTAGTCGGCTATAGTATACATATATGTTTATACGTTAGATCGGCTCAACCATTATACATGTGCAAGGTACGAAGGAAATCCGGGGTGTTGGGTTTAACGAAACTGCGGTTTGAAAATCGGTCGGGAAATTCATTTTTTCCCGTAACAATATTATAAAATGCGTATCGGGTGCAGTTGAATATTTTTACGTTTTTCCTCGCAAAGCTCGGTGGGGTATGCCTGTGTTCCATCCAAACGTTGTATATATGAGTGGAATGGACAGACGGCCACTGACGGATCGTTAACCCACCGATTTTCCCATCGCTCGAGGGAATGGATAAAAGAAAAGGAAAAAACGGTCTCATCGATTTTTCATACGCGCGTCCGACGGTGCATAAAACACACAAAAGCTTTTTATGCGCATGAACCGGCGTACGGGGAGCAACAGCCGGCTACCGAGAGCTGCCGCTCAATAAATGGCAATGAATCGACGACTAGGCCGCCAATAACAATTTAAGGCCGCTGCTTCTGTATGCATATGCGTGTATATACATATGTATAGCTTGCCTGCAGTCATCATCGCTCGTTTCCTCCTCTCTCACGCGAATATAGAGGTGCACAACCATTGAAATTGCCAGTCACACGAAACGAGAGCACGGCCAGATTTTTTTTTTTTCCCGGGGCCCACTTCGAAGAGCAGTTATTTAACGAGAGCCCCTCGCGTATATACTATCCCTCGCCCGCGCGTACAGTGCAAATAAGTAGTACGGATTTCTTTTTCTTTACAGTTATAAATAGGGTCGGGACGAATGGCGTATTAGAGCGTACAACACGTATGGTTATATTATTCATATTATGTACCTCTTGAGGTATAAATATATACATATATACATATATGTATGAATGTGTGGTGTTGCAGGTAACAGTGCTGTCGATAGCCCAAGAGACGGACGTGCCGGGTTTGAGGCTCGGATCCGAGTGCAACAGGAACAAGGAATGCGAGGCGACGATCAGCAGGAGCCAGTGCCACCTCGGCTATTGCTCCTGTCTGCCCTACTACGCCCAGTACAACGAGACCTTCTGCGTCGAGTGTGAGTTGTTACGTAACTCAAATTAACGTTTGCTCCCTCCCTCCCTCCCCCTCTATACGTATATGTAATTTGTACCGACATGTGTACTTTGCGGATTTTTCCCTGCGCGCGCGCGTTTTACCTATACGTAATTGCGTGTGTATAATTATGTACGAGTCGAGAGAAAGAACGAGATGAATAAAAATGTTTTTTAAACGCTAAATAATGTAACATTATGTAGATCTCTGTGCGTATGTACATGATTTTATCTCGTGCGCGCGCGCTACTTTTTAACGGTAAACAATATCATATCAGGAGCCGCGTGCAAAAACTCTTGTTTGATCATTCTTTTTTTTTCTTCCTTTTACCTATGGGTGGGATCACCGCGGTACAATCCACATTGGCAAATTTTTCCATCATCGTACGTTAACAACTTTTCGAAAAGCGTCGCGCTTGGGGGTGTTTTTTTTTTTTTTTT